CTTGTCCACGGCGTCTTTTATTCGTTCCACTGGGGTTTAGCAGGTGTGTTTATAAAGAGACGAAAATTGTTTGGGGACTATCCCCCACGGTCTAGTTGAGATGGTATAACCCAAGAGGCAAAATGACGCTTGCTACTGTTGTTGCGAGTTGCCATTCGTTCTACTAAACCATTAGTCAAACGCCATCATGTCTTCTGTCGTTATTACACAAACAAAAATCTCTTTATTGTTAGTAGTGTTAGTGCCTCAATCTGCCTACGCTCGTGAAAGCAATACAACGAACTCAAACGCGTCTTCGTTCAATGTTGTCAACTAATATCCGGATGAATTTTATGCAAATTTTCCTCAATTCTCCGGAGAAATTTTCATAAAATTTTGAAAAACCCGGAATTCCGGGAAAATCCGGAGGACTTTCATCTCTGAATAAAGCAGCGACACAGTTCACTGAACCAACAGCAAGATATAACATTGTAAGCATGTCTCCAGCAAGGAGCCATTTTGAGGTCGACATATTACCGTAATGACCATACACAAGTGCACCGGATTTTAAGGCATGCAGTGAGCTTTTAAGAAAATGGAAGACTTTTTGGTGCGCCCTGTAGTGCGGAAAATACGGTACTCTATATTTGTAGACAGCACAGGTGCGTTCCAGCATTAAAACTGCCGCATCTTGATTTTTGTGCTTGGTGCAACAATTTGGTTGCTGAAAGTAGACTAAACTTGACGCCTGCTGGAACCAGGTCTAAGTATTGGTGCAGGGAGTGTAACGTGATTTTTGGGGAACGTGATCGAGGTGCAGGCAGGCAAATAGATTCTGCCAATGAGAAGCTCATCTCAGGCCAGTCCATCAAAATATGCCTTGAAGTGAATGTGGTCCGTGGTACAAAATAGGTTGGGCACCAGACTGCTGCCCTGAGACAAGTCTCATGCTGCAAGTCAAGGGTTGGCAATTAATTTTTCAAAGGGGCCAGGCAATAAACATAAACAATTGTCAAGGGCCACACGAACATGCAAACTCAATTGTGCCATTTATGAATTGAATGTGTTTTCATAAAACCATAAATTGTATGGTTTTAATAAGCTGCCACTTGTGTTATAAAATAACGTACTTTGAAAAAAAAAAGCTGAAATGTCTTCCCAAAGTCTTAAATGTTTCAGAAGTGTTTGTTTTTAAAGATTTATTAAAGTATGCTTTTTATTCAACACTTTTTTCCCCCAATCACATTTAGATGCTGCAATGGATCACAAAAACAAAGAAGGGTACATATTAGGAATAAAACCTCTACTTCATCGTTATGAAAACTTTGGCCCTTCAGCTACTGTATTTTGAGGACAGTCACAATGGTGGTAGTTGTAAAATGACAATTTTTTTTGGTGGTGGGTGGGTGATACTTTCTGTTAACAGCTTGAGAACCACTGTGTTATTTGAATGAGTGATACAGTATTTCTTTAAATGCATGCTACATTACTATTACAGACATACTTTGTGATACTTTGGCAATTTAATGTCTGTGTACGGGTAATTATAAACTCTTATATTCGCCACATGCAATTTTATTATACAGTTTCCAACACTGACATTATGTCATGATTACAGCATTAATACATAGAGTACAACTGTCATATGCCATAAAGCATCTACTATTACCACAAAGATGTCAATAAGCATGCATTGAGAGGGCTTACTGTATGTTATGCACATTGTGCCAGAGTTTATGTGTAAATGTTTGAAGGCAACACATGAAATCAAATTAAACTGGGTAGAAAATGCATACCTGTGGTCTTCAGTATTTTTGTTGTTTTGGAAAATCGTCCCTCAGCGACTCTGGCCCACATGGGATGGGAGGATTCAAAGTTGTTTTGCACGACTCGCAGCTAACGACATTTAGTGCAGAAACCAACAAAATAATTGCGCGTTCTTCTATTCTGCGTTCCAGCCAAGGTGCTACGTTGCTCACCCTCGCTACTAACCGCCGCCAGCATATGTACACATTGCGTCAGTGGTGTTTTTTGTTGTTGTTGTTTTCTTAAACTTTAATTGGCAATGTTGTACTAATGCTGTAACCAGTAATATGTGTAACTAGCCGCAAAGAAAACTGGGATTATTTACAAAAGGGGGATTTGTACTTTGTTTGTATCCATCACTTTTGATATGAGTTTTGCCGGATGAATTGGCCCTTCGCCACAGTGCTGAATATTGGAAATCATTACCATGCTACGATCGTAGAAAGGGTTCTGTCAGTCGTCATCTGTTTTAGCGCAGAGCAACTTCCCGGAGTCTTCACGGAGACTTCAGGGTTGTCTACCGCTGACGAAGCTTCTGTGAGAGAAGCGAAACGTCCTTTTTTGTTTTTTTTTTGTTTTTTTTTTTGTTGTTTTTTGTTTTTTACCCACAGGTACAGATGACGACTGACAGAACCCTTTCTACGATGGAACTTTCCTGTACGACTGAGAGCCTCCACAAGTACCATGCTACGACACATTTCAAATCGTCATTGGCGATGTGACGAACGGGGAGCGCGGACACTGTTGGCAGCACACAGTGTGGCCTATTAAGCACTGGCGTAAACCCTGCAGTCCAATACCAATCGAGTCATTTTGGCCAGTATCGGACTCAATATTGATCCAGTGGATCGGAGCATCCCTAATCATAACGTGTGGTATACTGACGATATATATTGAGATGACAATTTATTTATTTATTACCATTGAGCTGCCTCTTGATTTTTGCGCAGGATAAATAAAAAATTGGAGGGAATGCAATCGCACACCCAAATATACAAAATATATAATCTAGAAAAGGATTTCTTGAAATTAGATCATCCTCACCTGAACCCCCATCCGTCAAGAGCACTGGCAAAGACCACATTTCCTTGGTCAGGAGAGAAGTAGATATGAGAGTCATCAACCTCCTCGAGGCCTGCACTCCAATCATACACTTGCTCTCCATGCTGTGTCTCACTTCCTTGGTCCTCTTTTATTTTCTCTGCTTGCTCCTCCATCACGCTGGATGTGAACAAGGTTCCTGTGACCGCATTCACCTAAAAGAAAACAAACACACAAACAAAAAACAGCATAATGGGATCACAGCCATGAAGCAAACATGAGGTGTGTGTGAGACAATTGCTTGATCTTCACCTGTTCCATGATCTTTTGCAAGTGGGCATAAGCCTCCTGAGGGGTAAACTTCAGCTCCATGATAAGTCGGTCTATTTTATTAATAACCAGAACTGGCCTGATGTTCTCCAACCAAGCCTGCCGCAGCACGACCTGCGTCTATTATGACAAGGACAGATGAAACAAATACATTTTTAGAACAAGAAAAGTAACGAACACAAGCAATATATAAATCTGTATGTTCCCTCAAAAGTATGACATTTCATATATTTTCATTTTTAAAAGCCTTCAGTTTTTTGCTGCTATTGTTGTTCATTACACAAGTTTTGAAGGTTTATCAGCTAAAATACAAAGTGCTTGTTTATCGATATAACGTCATGAGTACAAGGACACACGCGCGCACACACACACACACACACACACACACACACTAAAATAGAGCTGTCAGTTTAGCGCGTTATTATCGGCATTAATTTAAATCAATTTCAACGTGATAAAATTTTTTATCGCGAGATTAATGCGGCAACACGTCACAGCGGCTGTTACGTTGCTCTAAAAATAAACCGGAAAAAGACCACCAAAGTTACCTGTATGTTTTGCAGTCGTAAACTGAGCTATCATCATAGCACGTCGAGTCTGAAATACCACTTAACGGCCAAGCACACAGCTGATGTGAGTACTCCGCCCCATCATCTAAGACAGACAGCTATGGATAATTTCAAAGCGAAAAAAATGGATAACACGACGAAGAACAAATTTGCTGAAGCCATAGCTAAATGTATGGCTACTGCATGCAAGCCTGTAAACATTGTCCACAGCTAGACTCAAGCTGAAATCATTCGCATTGCATCTAACGACTCCACTACGGATAGCCAGCGAGAGCCTCCATTTCAAGCTATGTACAGAAATTGTACGTAGCGGAGAAGGCTGAGGTACACCAAGTGGGAGAAGACACTGTTTCGGGAGAGAAATAAGAGACTAGGTTGATGAGCCTCTGGTGAATAAAGAGCAGGTAGCCTGTTGAGTACGATGTATGCCACTGACACGATTGTTACTTGTTTGGAACTATTTTGTGTGGAAGGTTACCGTGTTCCGTGTCATATAAATAAAGGGGGTGGAGCTTCTCTGTGTTCGTCTGACAGTGACGGTGCACTGAGGCACGTTGAGAGTTCAGCGGTACAGTGGTAGCAACCACGCTGAAAATAAGAAAACGTCTCCAGTGTTGTGCCTCGAACCAAGTGTAGTCATCCGAAATGATGTCGACACAAAACCATAGAGAGACTTTCGCGCAAGAAGGACCAACAAAATAAACATAGTCTGACTGCTGTATTCAAAGCAAACTTGAGAAAAACAAAGTATGCAACCATGGCTTAAATCCACTAAAGGCTAAGTACTAGTTTACCTTAGATGTGCACTTTATAATTTTATATTGTTCTGTTTTGATTCCCTAAAAAGAGCTCTTAAAGGAGCTGTTGTGTGACAAAATATTTTTTTCACTGTTGTTGATAGACAGTAATATTGTGTGAGAGAATATGTGTGAATAACTGCTCCAAGTGAAAAATGTTCACTTGGAAAATAAGCATTGCTTTTCTTTAAAACATAAGCATTGTGTAACCCCAAAACCCTGAACGGTAATTTGCGTGTGGATGGACGGATGATTGATTGATTGATTGATTGATAGATAGATAGATAGATAGATAGATAGATAGATAGATAGATAAGGCTGACGAATCAGTAATTGCCATTTGTTGGGCCAAAAATAGTCATCGGCCTCAAAAAGTCCATAGCGGTTGGGCCCTAACGTCAGTACTATTGGTCAGTCCCCGCTTGTGTTATTTTCATAAATTGTTGACCAATTTTAAGTGTTGAAAAAGGCTTGTTCTTTTTGCTATTGCAGAGTCAATGGTTGAAGAGAGATTGCATTTTTATTCTCTTGAAAATATTTGGATTTGCGTGGATTCTGCCCAACGGCAGTGTAAATACAAAGTCAATACGTGGAAGGAACACTTCAAGATATTGCTGTGGGCTGCATCTATAAATAAAGCCTAAAATGTCCACTGCCTGCCTGTGAGGTTTGGAAGAAAATAGCACCAAGCAACAACCTCTGGTGCTCCTTTGAGCACCACACCAAAATTATAATATGCAACCCTGGCTATATGCATTAATTTTACTATCTGGATGAAAACCATTTGCAGTCCATGAGTGCCTTAAGTCTGGAAGCCATGGACTTCACACAATTGTTTCCTTCTTTTGCTGGCCTTCACTGCTACTTGCTTTGAGGTTAGGTCACCAGTGAGGCCTGTAACTTCAGTTTAAATCCACTGTGGTGGTAAAGGCAAAAATTCCAATTCCAACAATTTCCGAAAGGTTCTGGACCTAACCAAATGCTGAAATGAGGAGATGAGTCACGGCGATTTTGACTTTGGATGCTTCTACCACTTCAGAATAATTTCTCACTATGTTGGTTGGATTCATAATCATTTTATCAGAGAACTATTTAGCAGTTTCAGTCTATTTGCGATCCCCTCCTTCCAAATGATCAAGGGCAAATGTGAAAAAGGAAGACACCACAAAACATACCTGTGGACAGACTCCCTCCACAGCATCAACAACAACAATGGCACCATCACACAAACGGACAGCAGTAGAAACCTCAGAGGAGAAGTCGACGTGCCCCGGAGAGTCAATCAAATTCAGTAAGAAATTTTTATCACCTAGCGGGGGAAAAAAAGGTCATTACGATCCAGTCACAATAAGAGTTCATCTTCAGGCAGTGTTATTTCCCTCAATGACGATGACAAAATAATTTTGTTTGGCGTGATGAGACGAAGACAGCTCTTTGATGACGCGCACATTTTTGTTTGAGAGAAGACTGGACAAAAATGGAAATCATGTTTGCAGCAAGAAATTTTTCACAACAGGGGTTTTTTCACTGTAGCAAATTGAATCTCAGATGTAAGCACACACACACACACACACACACACACACACACACACACACACACACACACATGCACACAGACGTATGTGTACTCTATTTTTATTCCAATAGTGCATAAGTATGAGCACACACTTATTTGAC